TGCCTTCCCGGCTCTTGACTCCACAGAGAAGCTGGTGTCCCCTGGCCTGATCCTGCCGGGGCCTGTGGAGGGCAGGATGTTAGGGCCAGGTCAGCGTCAGCTGTGGTGCCAGGAGCCACCATGGAGAGAAAGACAGGGTGGTGCTCTGAGTCATGGCCTTGCTGCAGCTCGCTGGCTGGACTGGGTGGGGAGGTGGGGACGGGGCCGAACCCTGTTCCCGTCTCACCTCAGAGAGCTCCAGGCTTCCGGCTGAGTCACAGGGAAGGGAAGAAACTCTAGCTGAGGCTGGGGGCTGAGTCGTTCCAGCATCACTTCCTGCTGAGAGCCCCAGGGGTAGGGGAGCGGGGACCCTGCAGGTAGTTCCCTCAGGCCCCGTCCAGCGTGCCCTCTCCAGCATCCTACCTTCCCGGAGTCCTGGAGAAGCCACCAGCTCGGGCCTGCCCGGGGTGGATGGAGAGGTTTCACCCTGTCCGGGGAGACCGGCCACAGCCTCAGGCAGCCCAGCTTTCTACGTCCTGGACTAGCCCGCTGGGTAGAGGACGCAGAAGATGTCTGAGCAGCACAGGCAGCCGAGGAGAGCACACGGGACGCTCTCTTTGCCACACAGAGAACAGCCTGGAAGCTAAGGCTGACCCTGAGGTATGGTTAAGGCTTCCAGGGAAAGGAGAACACAAACACCCTGCCAGTCACCTCTACACCAAAAGCAGCCCGGAGCGAACACACAAGCACAGACAAGCCTTGTGGTCGGGTGTGCAGACACACGCACACACACATGCACACAGGCAAGCCCAGGCAGGGCCCACACAGACAGACGTCTGTGCGGTGACTCTGGAGGTGACCCCAGGCACCTAGGCGGGAACCAGCTCATGCATGCAACACATACACCGGTCCGGTTACAGAGCCCTTGGTCCCTGGTGAGACCCCCAAGTGACTGCGACAGACCTAGGTTAGAAACCACCCCATGTGAGTTGTTTTTACCCTCGAGGACGAGGGAGGCCCAACTCTTCCAAACAGCCCTGCTCCTCTGGCAGCTCTTGCTGGGCTGGATTTTCCTGCAGGGCTTTTGGATTCTGGTTTTGACCCACTCAGGTGTTGATCGCGTGCCAGACGCCGTGCCAACACTCAGCTAACGTGTGCAGGGCTGTTCTGAGTAAAGCTCTCAGTAGACGTGGGTTATTATGTCTGTTATTTACACACACGGTCTCCTTTCTTTTCATAACAACCCTATGAGGAAAGGGGTTATTATCCCCATTTTCCAGATAAGGAAAGTGAGGCTCCAAGATGTTAAGTGGCTTGTCCTGGTGGCAGGTGGCTCCTATGTGACAGGGGCAGTATTGGCACCCAGGTCTCTGAGTCCTGAGTCTGTACTTTTTTTTTTTCTTTTTTCAATTAAAAAAAAAGTTTTTCTTTATTTTTGAGAGCGACAGAGTGTGAGCAGGGGAGGGGCAGAGAGAGAGGGAGACACAGAATCCGAAGGAGGCTCCAGGCTCTGAGCTGTCAGCACAGAGCCCGACATGGGGCTCGAACCCGTGAACCATGAGATCGTGACCTGAGCCGAAGTCGGATGCTCAACTGACTGAGCCGCCCAGGAGCCCCAGAAATGTTTTATTTATTTATTTTTCTCTTTTTAATTTTTTTTTCCTAAATTAAAATAATATCCCTTACTAATACTAGAGCAGACTTTAGTCTGTAGCTAAAACTACACTATTTGTGGCAAGAATCTGGCCTTCATAATATAACCGGCCCCCCAGCGTTTTATTTTCAAGAGAGAGAGAAAGAGCACAAGCAGGGGAGGGGCAGAGACAGGGAGACCCAGAAGCGGAAGCAGACTCCAGGCTCCGAGCTGGAAGTACAGGGCCTGACGTGGGGCTTAAAACCACAAACCGTGAGATCATGACCTGAGCCGTAGTTGGGCGCTTAACTGACTGAGACACCCAGGCGCCCCTGAGTCTGTCCTCTTCATCTCTGTCTCGTCGAGGCTCCCAGCTGGGGAGGCAGCCCCACTGACTAGCCCTGGCGAAGTCCACAGGGCAAGTGGGAGGTCGTCAGAAAGCAAGGCCTTCAGGACGCCATGGCTTTGAGTGTGAGAGGCTCAGGGCGGGGGACGAAGGAGGAGAATGCCCAGAAGGGGAATGGATAGTATAGGGGGCCCCTCACCCACATGTCAAGGCATTTTCTGTCTGCCATTTCCATGACCGTGTTCCCCACATGACTGGAGGTGCAGCCCGGCGGATCCTCGAGCAGCTGGCGCCCTGGCTGTCCTTCCAACCTGGCTGCGCTCTGTCTACGTGACCCTTGGCAGATTTCCTCTCCCTTCCAGGCCGGAGCGGGGCCGAGCTGCCACCTGGACGGCAACCTTATCTCTGACCTTTGGTGTCTCTGTTTCTGGATGGATTCCAAGTACAGCCTCCTGCCTAGACTTCCAGGCCCCGCCCGCGGGAAACGAGCCTCCTGGGAGGGCAGATAAGCGTTGGCAAATTTGAGCCAGCCCTTGCTTTCAGAAAACCATGAAGGGGACGTGGAAGATGTTTGCCCTCGACTCTCTGACTCCTCGTGAGACCGCTGGGGGTTGTATTTTCTTTGTTATCCCCATGAAACGTAGGGGACCGCTAAAGGTCAGGCCGCCTACGCCGCCTGACAGGGGACCTACGTGGTATCCTTCATGGTCTTTGGGAGTCAATTCGTAAATGCACGTTCTCAGGCCATCCCAGGTCAGTGGCGGCAGCACCTCTGGGGCAGGTCTGGACCTGGAGGTCAGACCTGGGCGACTTTGCACCCTCCTGGGAGTGGGAGCAGGCCTCTGCTGGCCAGTGGGAGGGGTCCCTTTACCGGCGTGACTTCCTAGGAGCAGAGCGTGGAAATGTCAGGCTCCTAAAGGCTCATCACCGCACAATACAAGCCGCATGATTGGACCCTGTTGCGTTTGGAAATTTCATGGTTGGGAGAACTGGGGGATTAGGACTAGAAACTTTCTTTGGGTCTCCCAGTGTGTAGAGTGCTGGTAAGTGATGAGGAGTTGGGCGTTTGAGGCAAAAAACCTAGAGTCTCAGGCGATTCTGGACTTAAGAGTTCAAAGAGAGGCCCTGACCTCTCCAGACCATAGCTGTCCTGCGGTCTCAGTGCCAGAGTTTGGACACCAGACGTGAGGCAGGACTTACCCCATGAATTCCCAGTGCCGCCCCAGTTTAGACTCTGCTGTATGACAAGACTCCTAGCTGCAGAGCCACACACGTTCCTGCACTGGCCACCTTGTGTCATCACCTTCCCTCACCAGGAGCCATTGTGAGGAGCAGCCTTGGGAACTCCGTCATCCCGTTTGCTGGCGGGCTGCTATCCATCCCATGTCCCATGAGCTTTGCTGGAACGTCCCACCTGAGGGTTTCCTTTAGCATTAGTGGTGAGGCAGAAAGCTTAGTTTCTCCAGAAAGGCTGCTATGTGTACCTCCTCTTGGATAGTGAGAACAAGGTAACTTCATTTCCCTTTTCTCCCTGGCCACCAGGAGGCTCAGCCTTAAATGGGCACCCCATCCCTAGTAGCTGTTGTGAAGATCTCTCAGGACCTGCTTATGTGACTATGCCCTTACTTTCTGGCTTAGATGTTTTCTTCAGATGTGTGTGTTCTCCCTACTCCTGATTTGAGTGTTTCTGTTTCACTGTGTCCTTTTCTTTATTTTCTTGCCCTTTGTGGAGCCAGGCCGGGGGTATGTAAAAACACTCACCACGTGAAAGCACGTGAAGCCATCTTCACAACTGCTTTGTTGGCATGTTGCATTTTTTGCTTACTCAGCTTCACGAGACGATATTTGCGTGCGTGGTCATAACCGACTGGCCAGTTAGGAGACACCTGAGCTTGGGCAGGGTGGCTGAGTTCTGCCTGTTCTTCTTTTCTTATCAGCTGCTTAGAATTTTTAGAATAATTTCTCTTCAAATCCATGAGTCACTCGAAGCACAAACGGTACCCTGGTTGGATAGGTATGCGTGTTTCTTTCTTTTTCTTCTATTTCTTTCCCATTACACAAGAGGAACCGGCTTGTTGTAGAATCCAAAAAATGAGAAGGAAAAAGGAAAAGAAAATCACCTATACTCCCACCAGGGATACCAGTTTTCAGCACCCTGTGTGGTTCATCCTTCTGGATTTTTTTTTTTTTTCTGTTTATATTTTTCCCACACACACAAAAAAAAGGGATCTAACTAGGCATACTATTCTATAACCTTCATCTTCCCTTGGTGGGAGATCATTAGAATCTTTCCTTGTGTTGCATACTTTATAACGATGAAAAAGAGTTAAAGTTTATATCCAGGACATGTGCACATAATTTGTTTTTAAGTATGGGACGTACTTACCGTGAAAAGCAGCAAATGCCTCTGTCCTCCCCAGCCCCAGGCCTGGGGAAAGGGACACCTTTTCGTCATTTAGACCTTTTGTTAATACAGTGGTTTCCTCCACGTGGTGAAGTGCCTTACACCACTATTTCTTGGCTTGTCTAATTTACTGATTGGCTGCTGAGAAAAATAAGGCCTTCTCTATCCCATTACCCTTCACCTCCTCTGTTTTTCTACCACCGTATTGGGTTACTTCTGTAATTTAAAATCTCATACTTCGGGGTGTCCGGCTGGCTCAGTCGGCCCTTGATCTCAGGGCCGTGAGTTCGAGCCCCACATCGGGGGTAGAGGTTACTAAAAAAGTAATGAAATAAACCTAAAGAAAAATTTTATATTAAAAAATTGTTTACTGTTTTTTATATTTGAGAGACGGACAGACAGTGCATGAGTGGGGGAGGGGCAGAGAGAGACAGAGACAGAATCCGAAGCAGGCTCCAGGCTCTGGAGCTGTCTGCACAGAGCCCCCACGTGGGGGCTTGAACTCACAAGCCACGAGATCATGACCTGAGCCAAAGTCAGACACTCCACCGACTGAGCCACCCAGGTGCCCCGAAAAATTTTATACTTGAGCCTCGGTTTCTTGTTGCATTAACCACTGGCATTATCTTGCGGCCCTCTTCGCTCTCAGAAGAAGATAGAGACTCCACTTTTCCCTTAACTCCCCTGGCAGCCAGCATCACCGTGTGTCTATTGTTCACTCAAGTTCCCGAGGTCAGGGTCAGTGACAATTTACATTCTATTTAAAATCCCGAATCTTCCACGAGTGACTGAGTGGGAGCAAAGAGGTAGAGACCGGTGCCCCATGTTTGCATCCCTCTGCCATTTTAAATGAGGCTCACTGCAGGGGCAGGGGGCAGGTTCGCTGCAGGGGTAGGGGTGGGCTGTGCCCTGTAGATCCTTCTCCTTGGGTGTGATGCCACTCAAAGGCGGGTGTTCAACTTCCTTCCCTCTCTTTTGTTCTGTTACGTGCTCTATCTTCGTTTGCTTCCTATCTGACCATGACTTTCTTGTATGCTTCTGTTTGCTTGTTTTCCTGGTGTTTCTAACACGACATCATTTTTTCCCAGCTACGTAATACTCCATTGAGTGGAGTATTAATAGTGATATGTTTTCATCTAATCCCCTGTGGTTGGACACTTAGGTTGTTTCCAACTTTTCATTCATAGGGACAGTGCCATGATAAATGTTCTTTTACATTCATCTCCGTGCCTTTGTTTCTTATATAACGTTGGAGAGTCCAGGAATGGCGTTCCCCCTTAAGCCTGACCCCCTGTCCCCAGCCCCTTGCCGTGCGCTGCCTTGCTCACTCACCTTCAGATCGGCCCGTCCTAGAGGTTGGCAGAAGAGGTTTCTCGTGGGAGGTGTGGCCCCCAGGTTTATGTCTGTCTTCCTCTCCCAGGCTCTGAAAAGCGGCCATTCCTCAGATTTGAAGCTGAAAACATTTCCAACTACACGGCCCTTCTGCTGAGCAGGGATGGCAGGACTCTGTACGTGGGTGCCCGAGAGGCTCTCTTTGCTCTCAACAGTAGTTCCAGCTTCCTGCCAGGCGGGGAGTACCAGGAGGTGAGATGATGCCGGGGGCTGGCCAGGCTGGGCAGAGGATGGCAGAGGGGAAAACAGAAAAACTGACCCTCTGGGTGTGAAGACGATGCAGACGGGTGGGGGGGGGGGGGGGGTGGTGGTGGTGCTGGGCATGTACATCCTCCACTCCCCCTCCCACACTCCCCTTCTTTCTTCCTGCAGCTGCTGTGGAGCGCAGATGCAGACAGGAAACAGCAGTGCAGCTTCAAGGGCAAGGACCCACAGGTGAGCTTGTGCCTGGAGGCCACCTGGGCTGAAGGAAGGCTGGAGAGGTGCCCTGGACCCGGCACGGAGGGAGGATGTGGGAGCCGCTGCGATAGAAAGAGCGTCGGCCTCCGAAGTGGCCGCACCTGGGTTTGGCCCTGTCCTTGTTATCTCCGTGACCTTGAATGAGGAGATTTGCCTCTCTGAGCCTTAGTGTCTCCACCTGTAAAGTGGGGCTAGTGATGCCTACCTATCTCAGGTCTTGCTGTGAGGATTCAGCTAGCTGATACATACGAGGCACCTGGCACCTACTCAGTGCCAAATAAATGTCAGCTTCCAGCAAGAGCAACGATTGGGTGGGGTGGGAGTCCTGTCCCCCCACAGGTGGCGTGATGGAGCAGAGCTGACAGATCCTGGTGGGGTTTTGGCCAGACCACTGCGTATGGGGTCTGGTCCAGCCTGGGCGTTCTCCTGGAGGGTTCCCCACTATTCCCAGAGACCTCCCTACCCTGCGTGCAGCAGAGGGTGGCTGAGGTGAAGGGGAGAGAGCACCAGAGTGGAGTTCAGACCACAAGTTCAAGTCCTGACTGCCCGTGACTTCTTTTATTTGACAAACATTTACTTATTAAGCACTTGGTCCATGCCCGAGTACTTTTTTTTTGTTCAAAAAAAAAGTTTTTTTAATGTTTATTTTTATTTTTGAGGGAGAAGGAGAGAGAGACACAGAATCCGAAGCAGGCTCCAGGCTCTGAGCGGTCAGCACAGAGCCCCACGCGGGGCTCAAACTGGAGAATGACAAGATCATGACCTGGGCCCAAGTCGGATGCTCAGCCGACTGAGCCACCCCGGTGGCCCCCCCTTTTTTTCTTTTTTAAATTTATTTATTTATTTCGAGAGAGAATGAGCATGAGCGGGGGAGTGGCAGAGAGAGAGAGGGAAAGAGAGGGAATCAGAATCAGGTCCCGTGCTGTCAGCACAGAGCCTGATGTGGGACTCGAACTCACGAGCTGAGATCACAACCTGAGCCGAAATCAAGAGTCGGACGTTTAACAGACTGCACCACCCAGGCGCCCCTGTGCCCAAGTAGTTTTAGACGCTGGCAATGTAACAGTGAAAAAGAAGAAAGAACAACAGGCAAAAGTGAGCCGCTTGAACAGGTAGTCAGGCCACAGCTCATTAAGAAAGGGACATTTGCATCAGGACTGGACAGTGCTGAGGGAGTTAGCTGTGGGATTCCTGGAGAAGGGGCAGGACTGGACTTGCTCTGAGCGAGGTGTTTGGGGAGCCACCAAAGGGCTGGGCAGGGGAGTGACATGGTGGCATCTGTTTTGAAAGGGTTGCTCTGGGGGCACCTGAGCGGCTCAGTTGGTTAAGCGTCCGACTCTTGGTTTCGGCTCCGGTCACCATCTCACGGTTCATGGGACCGAACCCCGTGTCACGCTCCACGTGGTCAGTGCAGAGGCTGCTTGGGACTCTCTCTCCCTTCCTGTGCCCCTCCCCTGCTCTCTCTCCCTCTCTCTCAAAGTAAATAAACTTTAAAAAAA